CAGAGAGGGTGTAAACCCTATCATTCACTTTGTCCGACAAAGGGGTCGATCCTATCACTTTGATCACCCACTTAAGTGAATTCTCAACATGCCCCAACATACCCAGGTTTTGACCTATAATGGACCTCATTGATTGGCATATCAAAGTCATCCCAATCCGACACCTAGGTGTAATACTATAATCAAGTCTAGGGGTTATGTGTAACTTTCCAGTCTTACCTATCAATCTCCAAGGTCCAAGGCATAACTGGAAAATGGTTCGGCTTTAGTGTTTCAACCAAACACACACTACTTGTGCTTCGGTTCTAACCCTAACAGCTGAGACAAATTGCCCCAACTTCTTTGACAACACATCAGTGTCAGTCTTGGCAGGATAAACTCCTTAAGTCTATCCAATGAATGAGAACATTCTAAACTAACACGATTCTCATAAGTGTCCAATTTAAGGGGTAAATTCACAGAAACATACCAATGTCAATAAACAATAATGTACTTTTATTCATTTGCAATAAATGTATCTATACATCAATCTAATTGGAGCTAAGGGCATACACTGTCTAACACTAAACAGGATAGACTAAGGGCCGATCGGATCACAAATTGGAGTTCCTCAACTGAGGACTTTTAGAACTCTCCCACGTGAAGAATGGGTGCGGGTAGAAAAGAGTGTCCCACACGGACATGGAAGTGGATTCTGCCAGGGAAGGGGGAACCCCCCAAAGAGCTCGGCGGACAACCTCATCCCAACAACCCAAAAACCCTATCCGACCCGAACATGAATGTCCATTTATAAATAAGTACACCACGCTCAAGGTAAGGGACTTTTAGAATTGCATTCTTTGAATATCTCTTTGCATTGTCTCTTCAGCTCGGGCCAGCACTACCTCAACTTGGTCGTTCCAGTCACATCTCTCTTTATCATACTAACTTGAATGTCGAATTGCCTACCCGAGAAACAACTCTTCGGGCCTCTAATCATTCCCCTAGTTGCAAAATCCGATGCTCATAGCTCTTCCAACATCTAATTCCCTTCAATATGTGTAAGCATGTGTGTGTTTTCATAATAAAAGAAAAAAAAAAGGAAGGTGCAATACAAATACTTTAACCACATAAAAGTGTTGAAGCAACACCACCTGTAAATAGAAAAAAATGCATACCCAAAAACATATAATATACTTAAGAAAATTCAAACAGCTCACACAAACTCTCCCCATGGCCCCATGGCCTCATGGTCCCCTGGCCCTTACTAAAATTGAGAAGATGGTCCCATTGGGCACTAAGCTAGGAATGATGCACCTAATGTCCAATGTGTTGGAACGGCAATGCTTGGCATTAATCTATCAAATTAGAAGCATTACTCATAGCAAAGGTTATTTCCCAATCTTAGTCCTGGCTGAGGTCGTGGGAGAGTGGACTGAATCAGCATTTTCTTATACAAGTTATTTCCCAATCTAACCTTCAGCATTTTCTTGTACAAGGTGGTCAGTGTCTGCTTTCTGACGGTCAGACTCAAATCTACATTGCCCTAGTTCAATCATTACTCATGAGCTGTGTATGCTACTTTGTCAATTGAAAATATGATCTTACCCATCGACTCAAGGCCTCAAAACAAAAGTTTTAGTCTAGTTAGCACACATCCATATCAATCATGTAAACACTAATAACCTCAAAAAGAATTCAACCAACAATGCATAAACAACATATTATTAACAAATGAATCAAATTACAGAAAAGAAAAGAAAAAACAAAATAAAATTATATTCCTAGCATACTGCGGATATGATTTGCTCTGATATTTTTCTCTTGTTGTCTGTCTTACTTGTATGTCCTCCATCAAAAGGGTTCAAATGCCTTATAACAAGGAGAAAAGTTTGAATAGCATAGGCAGCTCCAATTCAAAACTCAAACAAAATAACAAGGATCAACATTGAATTAATTAGGGAGAATGATGGTTCAGCCCAGGGTCAGAATTTTTAGGCCCAAAGTACAGTTGGGATAGGTATTAACTCGGAATTGATAACAATTCATGGGCAGGCATTGGTGTATAGAGTGGGATTTTTAACATTTTGAATGTTTATAGATCTGCAATTGAATTCAGAAATCTACATTGGACATGCCTGTACTTTTCCAAATTAATTAATAGAATCTAATTAAGGATCCTTCTTTAATTTCGAATTTCGTTTTTAATTAATTTAGTTGTTCAAAAAAGAATTGGATCTTTCATGAGTGATCGTCTTGAACAATCTGTTGACGATGAATATTAAAAAAACTAATTTATTTGTGTTCTTTAAAAAAAAAATTGTTTTATTCATATCATACGATAAGATAAAATATGATATGRKGTTAAATTGAATTCTTGCTGAAATTTCTCCAGGTAAATAMAAACCTATACCTACCCATCTATATAGAATAGAAAAATTAAAAGTATAGATTACTATGTACTATGTACCGATTGAGCCAATGACTATTCCTGTTGAAGCATATACTCGGGGGGTGGGTGCAGGGCGGACGATTTCAAATGCGAATGAAAGCATAAAACACCAACCCAAATACAATTACGTACAACCAAAGCTCAACTGATGATTTTTCTTTTTTTTTTTTTTGGTGAAGAAACTACTATTTTGACAATTATGGTATTAGTTATGAATCTTTAAAAAAAATAAAGATCATATCCAACACAAACAAAACAATAGATGTCTACAAGTATCTAACTTCAATTAACAAGGAGAGAGAACGGAATGCAAGATAATGATATTTCTCTCAAGGAGAGACAATGAAACTGATTCAGAGATCCTAGAAGGGCAAAGAGAGAGCACTCAAAGCTATGAATGGCAACGGGTAGGACTCCCGTGGAAATTGTCCTACCCATTCCTGAACCCGCCTATATGTTTGATCCCAAATCACGTCTAACTTTTTCTCTCAATTTCTCAATTCCATTAAACACATCCCACCCAATTTGAAAAGTTAATTAACACATTCTACTAAAAAATTTTATTAACATTTAAAGTGTGATTTAAACATGGATTAGCTAATGATAACATCAAAACTCTTAACATTACTTTAAGCTGTTAAGCCATCTCACCTTTTGTGTTATTTAATGAAATACGATAACTTTTATTAACTTTTGTGTTCATCCAAACAAAATAACACATATTTATGATTAACAAATCCAACTAAAATTAAAAGAAATAATATTTAAAATTAGCATTTTATAAATAAATAGAATAAATAATCTACAAAATCTAAATTTACATCAAAAGATGAATTTAATCCCAAAAAAAATGTACAAATAAAATATTAATAATAGAATAATTATCTTAGTACTTAAAATTTATATATTTGTGCATGATATATGTCGTACAATTTGTAAATATTTTTATAATTATTAGTTAATATTTTAATTTATATAAATAGCCTTATATTTATCATTTACAAAAAAAAATTGTTTACAAAAATATTCAACAATATAATATTAAATTGAATCTACCAAACCCACTAATTTACATTTATATGAAAAAATGATTTTCAGATTCAAACTTTAAGAATGAAATAATTATTTTAGTAATAAAAAATTACGAATTTGCAAATGATATATACCTTAAAAAATTTAAAAGATTTGATATGTTTTGAGTAAAAATTATTTATTTTTATAAACTTTTAAATAATAATTTAATTTATATTTCAAAATTTAATATTTGGTCATCCTTTTTGTTAATGTTAAGAAGTAAAAATAATAAAATAAAATTTATATTTGACTTTAAATTTAGTGTTATTAATGTATTTATGACATTTGTATGTGTTTCCCTAATGTATCCAAGTGGTTTCATATATTTTTGTTTGTATCCATGTGTTTCTTAAATGTATCTGTATTCGTATCCATCTCCAATACGAAACTCAACCAACAACATTCAACAAGAATGAACATTACATAAAACCCTTTCATATAAAGAACAAAACAAGATAGTATAAAATTAAGCTACTCAAAAAACTAAGTATAAAATGAAAAAAGCCTAAAAACAATATCTAGAGAAGAAGAGCTTTGGAAAAATGCACTTTGTTCTGGAGGAATTTAGGCAATTAGCAAAAACCAAGGTAGAAAGCAAAGGATGAGAGCTTGAAGCGAGAAATGGAAAGTCCATAGGATTTCAGTATATAGATAGGAAATATTTTTCTTGGAAAAAAAAGACAAAATACAATCCCTAAAGAATATAGATTGAGTGTGGTCTTACCATGGTTCAAAAACATAAAAAAAAAAGTGCCAAAGATATGACCGTTAAAATGCCTTTGAAAATAGTTGGGGAAGATGGAGCTTTCCTTATTTTTGGGATTGATTTGGTGCAATACCACATTCTTACTTTTGAGATCCCACATCCCGCATTTGTCCCATCCCTACCCCTTATTTCCCTTAAATTCCCATCCCACAAACCAAAGAGCAGAAATGTTTGTTGAATGCCAAGAAATAGATATTTTAAAATTTTAACCCGAGTGACTTTGATAAATATCACTTGACTGGTATTTCCAGTAGTCTTTCCAGTATCATATTCGAAGCTCTATAGGAAAAATCAATAATACCGAAAAGGCATTGGTACAGATAGATTTAACCAATCAAAGCACCCAATGAATTTGATTAATTGGTCAACTCTTTTACCATTCCGATTGATTGGCAACAAGTTTTTCCGGTATCATGGTTGAACCCTTCAACTCTATGGATGAATTTGTTTGGTTATTATGCACTAGTTAAATAATTAACTAGAATAGTATGACTAAAATATTAATTAATTATTAATAAAAGTACTAAATAATTAAAAATAATTTAGTAATTAAAAAAAATAATGGAGATTAATACAGATCACAACGTCATGACAAAGAAAACAACTTGGCAAAAGTCCAAAAATAACAAAATTTGCACGTTAGTGTGCATGATAATCACACCTCTCTTAATCTACCTGGGTAGATTTGTAGTCCTCACCTAGGCCTTCACAACATGTGGCATCTCTCTCTTTATCGAACTTGCACTTGTGCACTGAAGCAAAGTAGAATAGTAGATTATAGATTTGGAAAAACTGAGCAAACTTCAGTAGTCTAGGTTCTGGGTTTCTTCCTTCTTCGATCTCGTGTGCCAACAATAGAATTTACCTTCCCTTTCTTAAAATACTTTTCGCCATTAAAACCTTCTTCCAACGTCTGCAACTTATGCTTTTTTGATTCTTGCGATTCAACCATACTGCAACAATTATGAAAAAAGAAATGCAATCAATAAAGCACTTATATATGATCGATGTCTAGACTAGATGTAAAATATCGATTTCCATAATGGCCAACACATGGACACAAGTGAAATGGGGTTGGTGCCACGTGGAATAGTTTCTATCTGCCAAGCATATCATCCTCATCTTAAATGCCTGTGGTATCTGCCATAATATTACAGAGCTTGGCAACTTGCATTAAATTGGAACTTGGAAGAATGTGTTTTCTCATTTAAACAGTAAATTTACATATTTTGGTGTTTGAAAAGCTAGGATATATCCAATATTGTTGGATGTATGATGCTTTGACACGTATCAGTAGATCTGTGGATATTTACCCAAACAATTGGGAAGCCCAAAAAAAATGTTATACGAAAAGTAAACCATTTAATCAACTAATACATTTCTGCAATTATTAATTAATAGCTTAACTTCAAGAAGTAATACCATACTTAATAATAATAAAGATGATGATGACGACGACGAAAACAAAGAAACTTCAAAACAAACAAAAATGGTTGACCCAAACTACAGATACTATTGTTGTAAAGCTCTAAATAGTAAATTCATAGTAAAGAGTTCTTAAAGACACATCAGCCACTACCAGGAAACCAAAAATTTCAAGGAAGTTTCATCCCACAGATAAACCAAAAAAACAGGCTACCAATAGAATAGCAGTATACATAGCTAAAAGGGAATAGCGAAGGAGACGTGAATAGATAAATCTATCCTGAGATATCTACCAAAACAACCATGCTGTTACTGGTTCATAAGTAGGCCTCAACAACTATAAAATGATATAATGTTTTGACAAAAAAGGACAATAACCAGGGTTCTTTTTTCCTGTCAAAGGTATAAACCATAAGGACAGGGTACCACCGTAGTACCGTACCAGCAGAAAAGCAGTACATGTAGCTAAAAACCAATAGTTACGTGTCATACATGCATAAATCCAGCCCAGAATATCTTCACATCATGAAACACTGTTAGAAGCTGACTTTGCCATATGAAGAAGAAAAAGACGAACAAGTGATAAAGAGGACTCATAGGAGTTCCAAGGTAAAACTGGGTTCCTCAGGTGGAGTCCATAGGGTTCTACTAGGACGCACAGACTTCGCCATCCTGTAGAACTTCGTGCAAAAACATGTATTGCAATTGAGTCAGCAGAAATTTCTTATCTATGCAAGAGTTGCGAATTTTCCCAAATCTGGGTTTCAGCAGCAGAACATAAATTCTGGCAGATCTAAATTTATAATAAATTTCTGGGTTATGCTTAGTGGCCTCTGTCTAGGAAGAGTTGAAAATGTAGCATGCGGCATCCATTGTAGAGTGACTTCCCAGATGTAAATTTTAGTTGTTCATATTCACACTCGAATCAAATCTTATTCATCAGCTTCATATTGGATTTGAATTGAATTTGGATTGGAATTGGATATTGTTACAGACCTGAATAGGACGTAACGTAGATTTTGTCTACTTCGAGGGAGACGAGAGACCTCCGATAAAAACCAAACGGTTCTAAGTAAAATTCTTCAATTGATATCCTCTCAAAGAACAATGGAAGTATATATACAGACTCCTACCCATAACTCGTTACCTTACGTGACCTATCATGACACTCTCTCTCACTACTAACTGACCCATAAATAAGGAACAAACTAATAACAGCTTTCACAAATGGGCCCACGTGGCTCTCTACTACATACATGGCCCAACATCTAACAGAAAACACCCACTACCTTATTCTTCCAATTGAAAAGAAGAGTGAAGAAGAAGAGAGGAGAACAAAGAAGGGGTTTGGTGATTAATAATCTGCCACCCCACACTTTTTTATTTATAGCTTTAGGTTCCTTACAAGAATAGGAAATAAACAAAAATTAGAAACAACAAGGCCAGCCGACCCAACTTAAAAGATCTTAGAAATAACTAATAAAAGAAATTAGAAACAACTAGGTGTGAGTATGGAACCACACACACTAGAGCCTGAGTGTGGGTATGGAACCCCACACTCGTGGCTAACCGACTATTTCTTCACTCCCCCTCAAGTTGGGAGTAGATATTTGTCATGCCCAACTTGCATAGATCTGTCTCCAATTTGATTTTTGTGACTGCATGTCTGAGGCGATGTAAGGAAGGCATACTTCTTGAGATGCAACTCGCTCTCGGATAAAATGTCTGTCAACCTCGATATGCTTAGTCCTGTCATGCTGTATTGGGTTGTGGGCAATATTAATTGCAGCTTGATTATCACAATACAGCATCAAAGCCTTCTCATAATCAACCTCCAACTCATTAAGCAAGGATCTCAGCCATAACACTTCTGCAACACCATTGGCCATGGATCAGTATTATGCTTCTGCACTAGAGTGAGCAACAACATTTTGTTTCTTGCTTCTCCAGAAAACAAGATTTCCCCCCATAAATGCACAATATCCAGAGGTGGACCTCCTGTCATCAACACATCCAGCCCAATCCACATATGTATTGACTTATATTTTCATATGACCATTATTCTTGAAGAATATACCTCTCCCTGAACATCTCTTTAAGTAGGCAAGGATCCTTTCTACTGCAAGGTGGGTAGTCCTAGGAGAATGCATGTATTGACTAACAACATTGACGACATAAGAAATATCTGGTCGGATTAGACAGAGATAAAAAAGTTTCCCAACGAGCCTTTGATACATAGTCCTGTCCTCAAGGAGTTCTCCACTTTCTGCACTTATCTTATGGTTAGGCCCAATGGGAGTATCAGCAGGTTTCACTCCTAACTTGCCAGTTTCTTCCAATAAGTCCAGAACATACTTCCTTTGGGAGATGAAAATGCCATGCTTAGATCGAGCTACCTCAATTCCTAGGAGATAGTGTAACTTTCCTAGGTCTTTCACTTCAAATTCCTTGTGAAGGTGTTGTTTAAGGGTTTCAATTTCACCTGTGTCACTTCCTGTTATCACAATGTCATCTATATAGACTGCAAGTAGAGTCAAGGAATGACCTGTCTTCTTAAAGAAGAGAGTGATCTGACTGAGCCTGTATGTATCCGAATTTGTCCAAAGCCAGTCTAAACCTATCAAACCAAGCTCTTGGGGATTGTTTCAGCCCCCGTACAAGGCCTTCTGCAAAAGGCAAACTTTCTTTCTTGCTTCTGTACTATAAGAACCAGGGGGTAACTCCATGTATACTTCGTCTTGCAAGTCTACGTTGAGGAAGGCATTCTTAACATCTAGCTGAAATAGTGGCCATGAGAAGTTTACAGCAATGGATAGAAGAACTTTGATAGTGTTCGTTTTTGCAACAGGTGCAAAGGTTTCTGTATAGTCTATGTCATAAGTTTGTGTGAATCCCTTTGCAACAAATCTGGCCTCATACCTCTCTATAGTACCATCAGCATTATATTTCACAGTAAACACCCATCTGTATCCAACAGGTTTCTTCCCTTCAGGCTGGTTAACTAGTTCCCATCTGTTGTTCTTGACAAGAGCATCCATCTCTACTTGCATTGCTTCCTTCCATTCAGGTATCAAAAGAGCTTCTTGCAATTTTTTGGGTATAGGAATAGCAGAAATAGATGCCAAGTAAGACCTGTAGGATTCTGAGAGACGATTATAGGAAAGGAACTTGGAGATGCAATGGGCAGTGGATGAGTTACGAATAGCAATAGGAAGATCAAAGTCATCTATCAGTGAAGGCTAAGCATCTTTAACAATGGGATCAAAAGTGGGAGCAGTAGTAGTATCTGGATTTGGAGCTGTAGAAGATGTTGGAACTGGCCTGGATTGTTGTTGAGTACGAGAATCAACCTGCCTCCACCACTTTCTGTGATACACTCTCAACTACTTGCATTTTTGACAACCTTCTCTACAACTCCCCCCTTCAGTAACTGGGACAGGTAAAGGAATTCTTGGGGTTGAAACTGAAATCCCTTCCTCACTATTCTCCCCCTGAGGAGAAGCCTTATGATATTAGGGCATATCCTCAAAGAAGGTAACATCCACGGACACAAAAATCTTCCCTGAAACTGGCTCATAACAGCAATATCCCTTTTGATTTTGTGCATACCCAAGGAAAATACACTTAGTGGCTTTGGGATCAAACTTGGAGCGATGAGGTCCAAGGATTTGGACAAAACAAGTACACCCAAAAGTTTTGAAGGGAATAGTGAATAGGTCCTTATCTGGATATAGAAGACTGAACGGGGTTTGCATGTTTAGGACCTGTGAAGGAACCCTATTAATGAGGTATATGGTTGTACGGATTGCATCTCCCCAGAAGCGTATGGGAACATTGGAGTTGAGCATGATGCATCTGGCTACTCTAAAATATGCATGTTTTTTCTCTCAGCAACCCCGTTTTGTTGAGGTGTGTGAAGACAGGTGCTTTGATGAATGATCCCATGATCAAGAAGATAGGATGCCAAGGGTTTTGTAAAGTATTCCTTGGCATTATCAAATCTAAGAATCTTGATCTTGGTTTCAAATTGGGTTAGGATCATCTGATGGAAAGCTTGGGTCAAAAAGGGGACTTCATCTCGAGAGTGCATAAGGTAGACCTATGAAAAACGAGTATAGTCATCAACAAATAATAAAAAATATCAGTACCTCCCATGGTGGGAGTATGGTAGGACCCCCAAACATTGGTATGCTCAATCTCAAAAGGAAGGTTGCTTCTTTTATTACTTAAAGGATAAGATGATCTATTGTGTTTTGCAAGTTCACAACTTTCACATTTCAACCCAGACACTTCTACTAACTCAAACAAGTTTGGAAAAAGACTCTTTAAAGACCCAAAAGATAAATGACATAAGCAGTTGTGCCAAAGCATAATCTTACTACAAGACTGGGAAACAAACAATTTCCCTACTTCACTCTGCTCCCCCTATAAATGTTCCAGCAGGTAGACTTCATTCATCTCACGGCCAATCCCAATCACCTTCTTCATTTCCAGATCCTAAAAAATACACTGATCAAGGAAACAAGTTACCGAACAGTTTTGATTTTTAGTAATACTACTAACTAAAAGTAAGTTAGCACTAAGCTTGGGAACATGCAAAATTGAGGATAGGGTGATGGTATCTGATAATCTGATGTCTCCTTTGCCAGAAATTGGTACAAGAGAGCCATCAACAATAGAAACTCTCTCCTAGAGGATAAACACTAGGTACTAAATAGAGTAGATATGTTGGTCATATGATCTGAAGCACCTGAATCTATTACCCAAGAAGGTCTAGTATTACCTGGGACAGAAGCATGGCAAGCAGTAGCTCTTGTACCTGTATGAGCAAGGGCTGAAATAGGGTGTTGAGATGATGTAGGCTGAGCTGAATTATCATTTTCTAGCAGAGTCAGAGCAGCTCGGACTGCAGCTAGGATATCTAGAGGAGTGCCTCTTGTGCCTGATGAAGTTGTACTATCAGTGTTGACAACCATATTAGCATTCCCTTTCTTATTTCTGAGCTTTGTTGAAACTAAATGAGGGTGCAGCTTCCAACAGGTGTCCTTAGTATGTTTAGGTTTCTTGTAATGTTCACATACTAAGTCCTCCTTAGCTTCCTTCTTCTCCTAATCCCCCCTAGATTTAGGTCTAACTACTGCCAAGGCTGATTCAGAGGGTTGTTGCTGCAACATAACCTTTCTCCTAGTTTCTTCACTATGCACTAGGGAATAGGCTTGTGATAAAGTCACACTATCTCTTGTCAACAACTGCTGTCTCACAATGCCATATTCAGAATTCGGACCAGCAAGGAACTCAAAAACTCTGTTAGTTTCAACTTGCTTTCTATATGTTTGTGCATCTTTCTGACTCTCCCACTCAATTGTTTCAAGATGGTCAATTTCATGCCATAGGGATTTTAAGGTTAAAAAATAAACAGAGACCTACTTGGCTGCTTCTCTCCTTGCCACAATTTTTTAACCTCACATTTCAGCTCATAAGCCCTGGCAACATTAAGAGGCTGCGAGTAGGTTTCCTTCATAACATCCCATATTTCCTTAGCTGTTTTGGCCCACAAGTAGTTTCGGCTGATGTGTGGCTGCATAGAATTGCACAGCCATGTCATCACCAAAAAATTCTCTTGAACCCATTTAGCATAAGTAGGGCTCTCCTTGGTTGGTTCCTTCACATCCCCTAGCAAGAAGTTTAGCTTTCCTCTACCCCCAATAGCCATCATGGCTGATTGGGCCCATTCTAAGTAGTTTGATCCATCAAATTTAACAGTCATGTTACCTGAACCACCAGTCCCAAAAACGCCTTCCCCTTGGTTCTTTAACTCCATTCTAGGTTAGGAAACCTACTGTAATCAGAAAAACTGTACCCCAAGGCTGATAATAGCCGACCTAGGACAAGGATTTTACAGTTACCCAGAACCAGATAACAGTCAACTACTATCCTGGAATTAATATTAGTCCTGGACTTTAGGTTTTTTTTCTCCTTAAAATAGGTGAAAAAGAAGAGATTTTCTAGCCGCACTTCTCTGAATGCACAACAAGGACTTTTTGAATATCAATCTCAAAGAAAAAATAACTTACTTTCTAAAGAAAAGTAGCCAATTTATCTCTTACTGCCTCCAGCCTCAAGAAAAGAGGGAACTTGCCCAAAAAAAAACTGATTGCTTTTACTGCTGTCAGCCTCAAGAAAAAGAGAAGTTTGCCCAGAAAACTGATTGCCTCCTTCAGTCTTCAAACTTGATCAATCAACTACTGTTGACACCTTCAATCTTGATCAAAGAATCGATCTTGATCACTCAATTCCTACTTGATTCTTCCTGATTACAATAAGCACTCTCCAATCTTAGGACAGCTGCTAAAAAACTTCTTGCAACCTCTAAGAATCAGGCAAAGTAAGGATCTTTCTGAACTTCCAGCCCTAAATAATTCTCATGTGGTTGGCTGAATTAAATCCACATGAGAAAACCCTAGATCGAATGCTCTGATACCAACTGGTAAGAAATAGAACTGTTACTGTGTGATCAAAGAAGCAATACAGGTTCGAAGAGGAGAGAGAGAGAGAAAAGAAGAGTGAAGAGTGAAGAGAGGAGGAGAAGAAAGAAGGGGTTCGGTGATTAATAATCTGCCGCCTCATACACGCTTTAGGTTCCTTACAAGAATAGGAAATAAACAAAGATTAGAAACAAACAAAAGTTAGAAACAATAAGGCCAGCCGGCCCAACTTAAAAGAACTTAGAAACAATAAAAGAAATTAGAAACAACTAATAAAAGAAATTAGAAACAACTAAGTGTGGGTATGGAACCCCACACTCGTGGCTAACCAACTATTTCTTCAGTAACATTCCCACCCTCTTAAAATGACCTTGTCCTCGAGGTCAAAGCTTCATCGAACCAAACACAGCCTTGTAATGCATGCAACTCCCCCATGTTCTTCTCACGAACACATGGTTGAATCCAATCAGCTGTTTTTGTAAATAACTTCAGGTGGGATCCTCGATCAATGCGTGTAGATCTCCCATGTACCCAAGCAGCACCACCGCTTGGATTGAGTTCCCCATAGACAATTTCTGTAATTAAATGCCCACCAGCCTCAATTGTGTATTCAACCCAAAGTATGCATGCAATCTGTGGGTAACTGGTGTACAAATGAATGGAGATTGAACCGTTTACCATTGTCCAAGGTGGGTTCCAGAGAATGCCCCCTTCCTCCATCATCTTTGCTTGATAGCGTAGAACTAAGTTTTTGTCCTTTGAAGCTTCTACAAACTTCATTATCTTCCTTGTCTTGAAGGTTTTGGAGATGATCACGCCAGCTCCATGTTCATTTTCATCTCCGGCAATGATGTTGGCATTCAAGAATTTGATAAGCTCTCGTTGTAGATCAATGCCTTGGTTCATGTGGTAATGAGAGGTGATACCGAACCCCATTGTGACTCCGTAAGGGTCGATTCCTTCATAGGACCAAGCTGAGACCCAAGCAGTATTCTCCAACTCACAGAGCTTACTGCTCCCATGGGCTTTTTCTTCAGAATAGAAGGGATCGAAGGGAGGTGAACGATCTGGTCTTGAGCTCCACTAATTGCTGGTAATCACTGTAGTCGCATGTCCTTTAGTTGCCATGGCAGAAACAACCTATTCACTACTGCAGCAACAGTGTGTCACTTCGCCCTTCTCCTTTGAGTGCAAAGACTCCAACTGGTCCAATCTTACTGACAAGCTTTCGAATATGTAATTCATCTGCTCCATCATTCACTGTTGGTTATGGCCAACAATCGGATCTTTCCTTGCAATTGTGCAAGCCGGTGCTCAAAACCGGAAATCATAATCTTGGCTCTGATAAAATCTACGCTACGTAGATTTTGTCTACTTCAAGGGAGACAAGAGACCTCCGATAAAAACCAAACGGTTCTAAGTAAAATTCTTCAATTGATATCCTCTCAAAGAACAATGGAAGTACATATATACAGACTCCTACAACTACCCATAACCCATTACCTTACGTGACCTATCATGACACTCTCTCACTACGGACCCATAAATAAGGAACAAACTAATAACAGCTTTCACAAATGGGCCCATGTGGCTCTCTACTACATACAAAGCCCAACATCTAACAGAAAACACCCACTACCTTATTCTTCCAATTGAAAACATATTCAATAAGTGGGCCCACTAATGGACCCTAATGTTAGGCCGTAATAGATATTGAATATTATAAAATATCGTCTTGTACATCATGAACAGAATAAAATAAAAATAACTTATATCATACTTGAACTTGTGAGTATTTTGTTAAAAACCATGTTAGAACTAATTTTACAAACAGATATGAGATCATATATGATTGGGATATGAATGGATCCATATTCAATCCACTTTTAAAAAGATGGAATTTGGATCATATTCAGATTTAAATTTGGATCACCTTTAACAAGTCCATTTGCTGTGTTGGGCGTCTTAAGGCTTCTATTTTATCAAAATCCTTTTCTAACAAGGTCTGGCCAACCATTCTCAAGACAAGAAGCTTTGTAATCACAGGTCCTAAACTTCATCTCTAATTTTCCTTATTTAGAGAAAATAAACACCCTCTCCAACCTGCTATTCAATCCTTTAAAGATCTGAAACCATTCACCTCCTACTTTTCAGATCTAATCCTTAGTCCACCATTTTTAACCAGTAGCACACTCTCCTCCCATCCTGCATCACCTTGTGCCCACATTATAGGTACACTAGATTCCTTGATAGATAATTCCATCAAGTGATTGCATGACAGAAAACACAAGAGAAAAATAGGACATATCCGCTCGCTGATCTTATTTTCTTTTTTCTTATATTTCTCATATCCTGCAGTGGACCACTTATAATAGGGTTAAGGCTTTGTTGGGTCGAGTTGAGTTGTCATACCTTGTCTTTTCCTTCATGGAGATATTTTGAGAAATAGACTTTTGTTGAGTTCTTGTGTAATATTGAGTAAAGGGATCATTTCTGCTGCACTTTTCAAACTGCAATTCATTGAAACATGAAACTGAAACAAATTAACTGGAAAATCCCACCTTAAAGCTTAGCAGAGAGATAAGGATCCAACCTCTAGAAATGATTCCACAGATTCCTCATCTTTTGGTGAAAATGCGACTTCATCTCGTTTCTTCTGCACATACTCAACATTCCGTTGAACCTGCATTTCCAGGATACATACATCTTATACTGTAACATTATACTAACAAGAAGTAACATTAGCAATATGGTAATCCTATCAACTAAAATTTCCCGATTTCACCAACAAATCCCTTTCAATCATGGGAAGGCCTCCCTGGAATTAATAGGAGATAGTTTTGTCAGCAAAAAGAGTTCCAGCAATGCCAATTTCTCTGAGAGATTGGAATGTCGTGTTAACAATATCTAAGCAGACAACATAAGCAACAAGGTAACCAACAAGCTCCTTCACCCACTGACCTGATCTATCAGATGCTTCACTCGATGCCGTATGACTTCAGAAGTTGCTTTCTCATGGAACTTTTTCAAAAAAATGAGGGTAATAGTTGCTAGTTCAGGGAAGGATATATGGCAGCTCCACTGAGAAAGATGCATTGATAGCAGCTTGATTGCAGAAAGAACACACTCTCCTTGAAAGCACTGTGATTTTAACCATTGTTTTGGCACCTGTCATGAAAATTAATTCAGTGTCAGTCACTTCATGAATGTAACAATCTAAGACAGTGCATGGAGCAAGGTTCAAAGTATCAATGTGATAAACCCCGTATCAGGCGTATCGCATCATTCCAGAGGAACACTGAAACACTAAATAAGAGTTAGGACATCTGTCCACTTTTAAAGGCTAATACTCTTCCTAGAGATGTCCTAACTCAATTGTTGAAACATTTTTTTATTAGATCTTAGTATATTGGCCAATCAAAACGCACAATACTGAAAAATGAGAAGAGCACAAGAAGGGAAGATTACAAAATTAGGAAAATAAAAAAAGAATCATGAAAAAAAACTTCACAGTTTGAGGCAATGGAATAGATAAAGAACAAATATATTTTAAAGTTTTTTTTTGATAAATATATATTTTGAAGTTACCCTGGTAAGCCTAAGTAGCCTCAAATCACTCTATAGATATGGACCCCAAGACATAATGATCTAAGTAGATGATTTGAATCAACAATTGGTCCTCTAATAATTTCTTACTATTTCAACCCATGTCCCCTGTTGATGGTTTTAGTTATAAGGCTGGTAATTTGGATTGTCCAGAAAGGGTAAAATGGTAAATAGGTATTTGAGTCTTTTCAAGGGTAAAACTGGTTTTTAGAAAATGGAATTAATAATAAATCTTCTAGTTAATTAATGTCTTGGTGAGAGTAGCCAATACTTGAATCCTTTTTTGGTAATAAATAAATAAGAAAACTTTTACTAAAAAAGAGGGAGATAAAGAGAGGAAAGAGAATTCCATAGTTTTCAAGGTGCCAAGGCGACAAAGGGGACATTGTTGCCTAGTCACCAAGGCAATGGATTTTTTTTCAGTAAAAAACATATATCTTAAGGTAGTTCCCTAGGTTCCATTTCCATAATCATATCTCCTTAATAATTATTCATAAGGATAACTACACAGTTATTGGGTGGTTATGGAAGCATTTGTATGGGAAAGCACCAAAGATGTAGAAACTTTCAGGAAATTTGTGGAAAGAAACTGAGTGTTTGAGTTCCTTACAGGACTCAATCCTGAATTTGATATTACAAGGCAGAATATCCTGGCCAAGGATGAAGTGACACTTGCTCAAGCATACTCTATGGTGAGCAATGAAGAGAGCAGGTGACAGGTATAGCTACAGACCCCACCTCCTCCAGAACATTTTGCACATGCCGAAATAAAACCAAAGGGGCTAAATGAAAAAAAGGAGGTGATATGTGAATATTGCAAGAAGCCGAAACATACAAAGAATTCTTGTTGGAAGTTTCATCCAAATCTTCTTTCTGAGAGGTTTCAGAACAACTTTAAGTAGGGTGGTCAGTCTGGAAAGCCCAAGAATGCAAATGTTGCTACAGTATCTAAATGTGAAGAAAAATCTGTTGTGGATCAGCTGGCAGCAGTGAAGGCAGAATTTGAGAGATATGGGAAGTTGATAAACCACTTGGAGTCTATTGTTGCATCTTCCTCCTTAGGCACCCCCTCTACATCCGCTTTTTCCCATTCAGATATTTGTGCTTCTGCAAATCATGCTACAGCCTCAGGTAATCGTAAAATTCCTTAAATCATAGATTCTGGTGCATCAGACCATATGACTAGCATACCCAACCTTTTTTGTTCATACCAGCTTCTCTCGGGTAGAGAGAAGATTTCTCTTACAGATGGGTCTCTTGCTCCCATCTCTAGCAAGGGGAATATTAAAGCCTCTGACTCACTTGTATTATCCTCTACAATTCATGTTCCCAAAGTTAACACTAACATTTTATCTGTTAGTAGTTTAACAAAATCAATGAACTGCAGCATAACCTTCTTTCCTACTTATTGTGTTTTTCAAGAACTGAAGTCTTAGAGGACGATTGGGAGTGGCCATGAGGCGAATGGGATATACATGCTGGATGTCTCTAATCAAAGTCTTGGATTACCTAGTGGTGTAGCTTTGGAGTCTGTTTTATCAGAGTCAGTTAATAGAGTCATGATATGTCATTTCTAATTTGGTCATTTGTCTTTTTCAGCTTTGAGTCATTTGTTTCCAGAAATGTTTAAGGGAATATCCCTATCGAGTCTTCATTGTGAGTCATGTGAACTTGCAAAACATTGTAGACAATCATTTTCAGTGAGTAATAAAAAATATGTTTCTCCTTTCCATATTGTGCACTTTGATGTGTGGGGGCCATATCATTTATCTGCTATGGGGGGTTATAAATATTTCATTCTTTTCATTGATGATTTATCTCGTTACACCTGGATTTACCTTATGAAATCCCGGGATGAAGTACCATATATTGTACAAAAATTCATGAACTTATACTTACAATTTAACATTCGAATCAAAATATTCCGATTTGATAATGCAAAGGAATATTTTGAGAAGAGCCTTTCCTCCTACTTTGATACCTTTGGAGTTATTCATCAAAGTTCCTATTCCTACACTCCTCAACAAAATGGAATGGCGAAAAGGAAGAACAAACATGTGGTTGAGGTTGCGAGGAGCCTCCTTTTTGCTTCCCATGTTCCTATTAAGTTTTGGGGTGATGCTGTCCTTACAGCTACAGACTTGATAAATCGAACGCCTTCTCGGGTTCTAGGGTTTAAAACTCCCTTTAGCTAGCTTTTCCCAAATGAAGATCTCTTCTCTCTTCCTCTCATGGTGTTTGAGTGCACTTGCTATGTTCATGTTCACAGTCATCAAAGACATAAGTTTAAGTTTAAAGCACACAAGTGTGTCTTTTTGGGATATGCCTCCACACAAAAGGGGTACTGTTGTTTTGATCCGATTCGTGGCACTCGCTTTGTTTCTAGAGATGTCACATTTGTAGAGTCTGTTCCTTTCTTTGGTACTTCTCTTAAGGGAGAGCATTCAGAGAAGTTGTTTGCATTGTCACCATCTGTTCCTCTTGCAATTCCCATTGAATCTTTTACAGAGTCTCCTTCAGTCGAGTCATCCATTCCTGCTCCCCCCTCCTCCTCATCCCCCTACTTTTTCTTCCCATCCTATTGTCCAAAGGTGGTACCAAAGACAAAGACTCAGAGGCATGCAAGTTGTTTCCACGCCTTCAGATGTGCCTCTTGCTCCTCCCATCACTACTGAGGTAATAGGTCAGTCCTCTTCTACCACTTCGGAAACCTTCCCTGACCTTGATCTCCCTATTGCCCTTCGCAAAGGCAAACGGAAATATACAACTCATTGCATTTCCAAACACCTGTCCTACAGCCTTCTTTCCCCTTCCTTGCCTCTATTTCGACAAATGTGACTCCCAGATCTGTCCCAGATGCCTTGTCCAAACCAAAATGGAGGGATGCTATGATGACTGAACTAGATGCTTTGCATAAGAACAATACTTGGGAAATTGTGGATTTGCCTGAGGGAAAGGAACCAGTTGGTTGTAAGTGGGTGTTCAATATTAAGTATCATTCTGATGGTACTGTTGAGAGATATAAGGCTCGTTTGGTTGCTAAAGGATATACTCAGATGTATGGTCTTCCCTAGTAGCCAAGATGACTTCAGTTCGAGTTTTGCTATCTTTAGCTACTACTTTTGATTGGCCTCTTCATCAGTTTGATGTAAAGAATGATTTTTTGAATGGGGACCTACATGAAGAGGCCTATATGTCTTTACCTCCAAGAGTGTATGGGAATGAGATGCAAGGAAAGGTTTGTAAACTGAAGAAGTCTCTTTATGGCCTTAACAATCTCCTAGAGCTTGGTTTGACAGATCTCGGGCTGCTTTTGTTGCTTTTGGGTACACACAGACTCAGTCGGATCATACTTTGTTTGTTAAGATGAGAGATTCCTTAGTGACCCTTCTGATTGTCTGTGTTGATGATATTGTGGTTACTGGTAATGATACTCAGAAAGTTGTTCATCTCAAAGGTTTTCTTAACATTAAGTTTGAAATTAAAGACTTAGGAAAACTCAGATATTTCTTGGGAATTGAAGTTGTCAGATCTAAGGATGGTATCTTCATTTCCCCATGGAAGTATGTTCTTGATCTCCTTGCAGAGACTAGCAAACTGGGTGCTCGACCTGCTTCTACTCCTATAGACCCAAATCATAAGTTGTCAGCTACTGAAGGTGAACTATTGTTTGATAAGGGAGTGTTCCAGAGACTAGTTGGGAAGTTATTGTACCTTTGCATGACTCGGCCAGATATTTCCTATGCAGCTATTGTAATTAGCCAGTTTATGCATTCTCCTAGAGATACACATTTAACAGCTACTAAGAGGGTTCTGTGCTATCTAAAAGGGACTACAAGGAGAGGTATCTTGTTTGCTAAGCATGGACACATGAAGCTGGAAGCATACACTAATGCTGACTGGGTCGGGTGTATTGATGATAGGAGGTCCACTTCAGGTTACTGTACTATGGTAGCAGGGAACTTTGTATCATGGAGGAGTAAGAAGCAGTATGTAGTGACAAGATCCTCAGCTGAAGCGGAGTACTGGGCAATGGCACATGGAGTTTCAGAACTTTTGTGGTTAAGATCACTTTTAGAAGAATTGGGTATAGATTATGAGAAGCCAATGATGTTATATTGTGACAACCAGGCTGCTATCAACATTGCACATAATCCTGTTCAACATGACAGAACTAAGCACATTGAAGTTGACAGGCATTTTATACGAGAGAGAAAGTTGCCTTAGGAAATGTTTGTCTACCATTTGTTGCTTCTGAAGAACAGTTGGCTAATGTTTTGACAAAAGGTCATCCTAAAGGAAAGTTGGTTCACTATATAAGCAAGCTGGGCATGATGGATATCTATGCTCAGCTAATGTTTTGACAAAAGGTGATCCTAAAGGAAACTTGGTTCACTATATAAGCAAGTTGGGCATGATGGATATCTATACCCATTAATGGGCCCTAGCCCATTAATGTCTTTCCTATTAGTTCTTTCTTGTTATGTTTTCTTATTGGGCCTTTTCTTTATGGGCCTTTAGCTCTTGTTTATGTTTTCTAAGTATAGTGCTGATGTGGATGCCTACTTAAGGGCAACCTTTCTTCTTGCAAGATTTGATTTATAGATGCTCTATTTCTGAACCTTGGATTCTTGTGGTTATATCCAAAGTTACATGAGATTTTCAAATAAATTATGAGAGCCTCAGAATATTGAAAGAAATTGAACAACTCCTGAAAATACTTTTAGATCATCTTTTCCAGGAAGGAAAGAGGGGGGAAGGGGATGAAGAAGGGGAAAAAACAGATTCAGGATGTTTTTTGTTGGATCTAATTGCCAAAAACCTGTCTCTAATGCAGACATGTCATTATGCTAACTGCTTAGAACGAACCTTTATTAGTAAATATCCAGCTGCTGAGGTAGAACTTCCACGTTCCACCTCAGAGCCATATCATCATGAGAAAAACATCACACAGAAGACCACTACAGTGTTAGCATCCTTAGTATTCCTCTAATCAGTACATAAGTTACTTAAAAAGAACATAACAGCAGATTAGATACCGACAGAAACAGGGATATAACTGCAAAACTAGGATGAGGGAACTTGATACTTTATTTGTTACTTCCATACCTTTAGGACAAATGAAAAATCAAAGGCCTTTTCAGGCCTTGCACCTGCCCTGCCACTCCCACAATATTCTAGAGCACCAAGTGCCAATGAGGTGATAGGAATGAAAACCCCACTAGAAATAGAGAGTTCATTGAGCATTTGAATGCATTTAAACCTCAAAAGCAGATATCGAGGCCCAGGAAAAAGATAAGCTACTCCACTTATAATTTGAATGATCAAGTATAGCAATGGCTGAAGATCATGATCCTTAATATTTTTTGATAGAAACTTAACCCAGAGATTGATGCAGTTTATATACTGCCAACTGCATATCTTCTTGAGTACTTCCTGAAACCAAAGAAATAATTGAATTAGAACATAAGGAAAGACACCTTCAGTTTGTCATAGAACAAGTAATATCATGAGTACCTAATCAAAGCCAGAAACATTTACAGATTTGTAAAACATTAGATAAATATAACCACATTGTGGTAATACATGTCATAATTAGACCTACATTCCTTAACACAATTCCTGGACTCAAACCCAAAATTATATAATATTTGATTGTGCCAAGTGTCAATCACTACATACTATAATCAGTCAAACATCATGTGCTCATGTGTTCTGTTACTATCAACTACAAAAGGTAACACAAAATACCCTGAATACATTTTCTTGTAAACTTTGCTTTAGATTTTTGACCTCTCAAGAAGCCCTCTGGATAAAGCTTCTTTCTGCCAAATATCACTCAAATAGATTAGAATTTCCTAGGCAGTTAAGCAGAAATCTATGTACTACTTGGAGATCGACTTTCAAAGCTTGGATGTGCATCAGTGAAGAACTTTTCTTCTAGTTGCAAAGGAGTCAAAATTCAGTAAATGGTCTATTCCCTGGATACAGGGTCCTAATGGGCCCTATGCTTCTCTTAGTCCTCATAGAGAGATTTTTTAAATCTCACTGTTGGAGACCAGATCAATCAAGATTCTAATTGGTACCAGAGAAAACAAATCTTTCTTTAGTTAAGATATTACCAGGAACATTCTCAATGCCCATATATTGAGGAATAATACTCAAGGGCAATGGGTTTGGAGACCTTATAGGGAAAGTAACTGTAACTTAAAATCCTACTGCATTAATAGCAAGTAAGGAGCAAAAGCTTTTACCAGGAGATAGTTAAAAATCTGAGGCATGTTTGGAAGCTTAAAATACACCCTCGTTATAGGCTTTTCATGTGGAGTCTTCTTAGACAATTCATTGGGTCTAACCAGGGCATTTGATTTCATCATCCTCTTGAGTCTTTCTCAGATCCTTGGTCCATTTTGAATCACCTTCCTCTTGCATTCTAGTAATTGTGTAGAGTTCCTGGAATGGGTCACTGTGGCAAGGTACTACATATTGTATTCTAGAAATTCTCTCAATTTTAAAAACTGTGAAAAGTCTGTATTCTGAATGGTCAATAGATCAATTGGATCTGCAACAACTCAAAGCAAATCAGATAAGAAGATCTGATTGATATCTCTAGTTCTAAATCACCTGGTCTTTTTCATTTCCTGTGTGATGAAAAACTCGAGTCATGCTTCAATTGGTTTGGTTTGTTTATCTTATAACAATTTTTTTGTTGCAGGTGCAGATCCTTTTTGGTTAAACATGGTGACATTGAAGCTGAATTGCATTTGATTCTCAGTTTTGGTAAAGGAAAGGTTGGTGAGCCCTAAGAGTGAACTCTGACTCCATGATAGATATACAGGCCTTTTGCAATCTGGACTTTGATATCCCTTGGGGATGTTTTATTTTATTGGACAATACTAAGTTGTGATATACAGATTTGGATGTGGGTTCTTTTGTTCATATCAATAGGGACGCAATAAGCCTGCTCATCAGATAACTACCTATGATTTTGGTTTGAACGGGGAGAATTTTTAGTTGAATGTTCCTCCCCCGTGGCTGCTTGGATGGTGAACATTATAAGCTATACCACTAAAAACTTCCAAGAAGTGAGGAATTGTAGTGAATGTTGTCGAAGCAAGGGGTGGAAAGGAGATGGTTATGCTCATTCATTCTGAAAATTACATAGATACTAAGTGAAGGCCCAATAAATGATGAGTTCAACCTTGGGAGATGAACAATATAAGCTATACCACCAAAAATATTAATTTGGAATGTCACTGTGTATCAACTGGTGCTTACCTTCTTCTTTGTTGTTAGACCATGCTGCAATATCTTGGCTAGTTCTTGGATAAACAACAGTGCCTTGCTATAAGATTTCAGTATGTCTACAGAACACAGATCAACAAAGGAGTCTCCAAGAAACTGCATATGTTTCATATTAGCAGGTTCCACAAACTTGCAGTGTGCAATAAAGGCTTTATATGCCTTTACCAAACAGGGGTCTAGAAAATCTGAACTGCACAAACAAGCCAAATCATGCATGACAAAAAAGGCAGATGATGATACAGTCCCTCCCCCAGTTGCCCACAGCTGAACTGCGACCTGCATCCAATTTGTAGCGTTAAAAGAGACAATTTCTACCAATCAAGGGACTGGTGTATAGTGTAATATTCATGCACAATATGGACATGGAGTCGGAGCAGGCTTTGGAATCTGATTTGCACACAATCTAAGGATATTGGATGATTCCAAAATGTCCATATTATACAAGAACCTCCAATACAGAGGCATATCACAGATATAACCAACCTATTATGAAGTGATTTAGATGATAACTCAGGATGTTGATTAAGGCATCAATTTAACTAAGTAAATGAAAAAAAAAAATAAAAGCTATATACATTTCTGCATATATGTAGAAGAAACCTCAGAATGCATTTAAATAAACTTCTGTTTCTTTCCTTCTATATGCCCTAAAAACACTAAATGGCTTAAGTTGCATGAGATTTAAGTTCTTCCTTCAAACTTAATGGAAGGCTACCATTTAAGTACATAATGAGGCAACTATGAATGTCTCAACTCGCAAATTCACATTTAACATAAGAGTAAACCCCAATTTTTTTTTCCATTGAAGAGTTTAGAAATAAGTGCCTGTAATCTTCGTCAACATCCCAATACATTACACACTTAAAAAAATTCAACTCAATCAAGATACAATCCTACCTATTTGGGGTTTAGCTACATGAATCTTGTTGTGCTCCATCAAGAGCTATGTTTTCTGTCAAATTATACATCCATGGATAATTTTTACCACTTCAGACAATATTCTCTTTGCTCTTTTAGATCCTTCTACTTGTACCAAGACAATCCTCATTGGAACAGTCATTTTCTATGGTTATCCCTAATCTTGGCACAAAATAGAGCTATTGATAAGTGCTCTATAAGGCACATATTTCTGTTATTTCTGAGCAAGTTTATTGACGGCCTACTTTATCCAATATGGCAATGGTGTTCTTAAAAGTGTCATAAAATTTTACTTCTATCAATGTGAGCTTGTCTTAGACTGTCCTTCCCAAGCCCAAATAAAGGAACCCTTTAGGTAAGGAAAAAATTAACATAATCGGCACTTATGCACCCATCCCAAGACCACATATAGCCAAAACCAGCATTGAGTAATACCCTTTTTAGGTAAGGAAAAAATTAACATAATTGCTACTTATGAACCTCAAATGGGTCTAGAAGAACATCAAAAAAAAAAAAAAAAAAACAAAAACATTTTGGAAAACTTGGAAGAATTAAAAGTCCGATTACAGGTGCATTTCAAATATTTGCTGCACGTTATATCAAAATTTCAACCAATCACATTAAAGACATCACACAGTCTACTTATTATTCTTTGGTTCACATTTCACAAGGAATACTTACCATTAATGGCTTTAGCACATTAAATATTCAACTGTAGCATGTTGCTTATCACTGGTTCAAGCATTTTCACGGTGCAGTTCATGCACCATCAATTTTGCCAAGAATTAATCCAAGAAATACTAAATAAAAAGAGATTTTTTATAGGAGATCTAAATGGGCATATGGAGGAAAGAAGTGTAGGATATGATATAGTTCATGGAGAAATTGGGTTTCGTGAAAAGAAAGAAACAGGATATGCTGTCAAAGCCTCAGAAAGTAGATATGTGAATTATGGTTATAGTAGTATAATGTGAAAAAATAGGAGTGAACATGTGATGTGAGTTGTGAATTGGGATAATTTCGTTAACTGTGAATGAGGTTCCACTTGCAAAGCATGGGGTTAGGTTTGAATTATGATTCATAATTTATGAAGTAGAAATTGCAAACCAAATGCAATGTCAAAATAGGGTACAAAAGATACCTATTGATGCAAAAATAGACACAAGTACTAAATAAAGAAAAAATAATAAATTGTCAACATCAAGTGTAACCACATGACAACCTAGCCTGACAACTTCATGTTTTGACCTGGCATAATTGCTTAATGACTTACCTCAAACAAAATGTTCTTCTACAACAAGAAGACAACAGATCAGGAAAATTCTCTGTTACAAGATCTAAGCTAAGCTACAAAAAGATAACTTCACCCTCATTCAGACGGTCAGAATCACAACAAAACGAGAGAGTAGACTAATGAAAGAAATGAAAGTTTTTTCAAGTTTTCTACATTTTTCCTTCACCTATTGTGATTTTGACCATCTGAATGAGGGTGAAAGCAAGCGTATAAAAAGATAACAAGAAGACAACAGATCAGGAAAATTCTCTGTTACAAGATCTAAGCTAAGCTATAAAAAGATAACTTCACCCTCATTCAGATGGCCAGAATAACAACAAAATGAGAGAGTAGACTAATGAAAGAAATGAAAGTTTTTCCAAGTTTTCTAAATTTTTCCTTCACCATTGGGCTTTGGGTTTCACAGTTCAAGCAAGCGTAGAGGGGCGAAACCGGGATTACCATAAATGTATGATGCACGTGATAACAACCTCAAACATTTCAGCGACTGATGACCTATTTGTATCAAATGGGGCCATTAAACAAGGTATAAAAGTAGTTTTAGAAACCATAGGGTATACTTTGTATTCCTCAAGAAGCTAACACTTTAGGGAGGGAAACGATGTCAAAGGCTCTGAGTTCGTTTCTAGCCAGAAAGGAAAGACCAGAAGTTGTCCCCCATCAATGGAGGAATTTCCAGTTTTAGAGAAAGGAAGAAGCAGAGTGGTGATAGAGCAGAAGCTAAATAGTCAGACCTCTCTGTATTTCCATCCTCTTCCCACTGTCAGCAACTGATTGAAAAGTTTAGAGATGTTCTCTTATTTTCGTCCTCTTTCCACTGTCAACAACTTACCTCTTTAATTGATTCAGGTAGTATTTATTTATCTTCCCCTGTTTTTTATTAGATGTTCTCTTATATTCCCTTCTTTCTGAGTTTAATTTTAACCACCCAATATCCAGCGGTCTCCAAAAGGTGGAGGATCAAGCCTGCTACTTTTTTGATGAATTGAGACACTTCCACAGATCTGGGATCTCACTGGGAACTCTAACATACCTTGCTTGGAAGCCATTTTTCGATTCGTCGTAACCCACAGAGTCCGTTGGGGTTTGGGTTTCACAGTTCAAGCAAGTGTAGAGGGGCGAAACCGGGATTACCAAATGTATGAGGCACGTGATAACAGCCCTAAACATTTCAGTGACTGATGACCTATTTGTGTCAAATGGGGCCATTAAACAAGGTATATACAAGTAGTTTTAGAAACCATAGGGTATACTTTGTATTCCTCAAGAAGCTAACACTTTAGGGTGGGAAACGATGTCAAAGGCTCTGAGTTCGTTTCTAGCCAGAAAGGAAAGACCAGAAGTTGTTCCCCCATCGGCGGAGGAATTTCCAGTTTTAGAGAAAGGAAGAAGCAGAGTGGCGATGGTCGGAGGAAGAGCTTTCATATCCATGGTCCACAGACTTGGTCCATTTGGAAATTGGAAGTCGGCCTTCATGTGCACCAAGCTAGAGGACGTAAGTTGGAGAGACATGAAATTTGGCCTCTCAGCGAACCTGCATTCCCCGACGCTGTTAACTCTGAAACCTTTTGAAACAAACAAGGTGGTGGGCATTGTCCCGTCAGAGGAGACAGTCAGCAAGTGGACAAGGTTGGGATCAGTTTTTGTGTATGGGAAGTAGGTGTTGATTGATTGGTGGTGACTGAAAGTGAATGAAAACTTTGCAAATCTGAGTTTTAATGGCTGGATAGTGACACATGGCCTCCCCTTTCATCTGTGGACAGTGGAGATGCTTAACCTAATAGGAAGTCTCTATGGAGGACTGGAAGTCATTGACAATCGAATGAGAGATTTCCAGGAGCTTCGGTTTGCCAGGATTAGGGTGAAAGGGAAAGGAGTGTTTGCAATACCTCGTGTAGTTCCCATTCTTGACAGAGAAGTCTGGTTTCCGCTGTTCAGTCAAGGTCGAGAGGAAGAAGAACAAGCCTGGGGAGGAAGAAACTGAGTCAACTCACCAGCCTGGGTCCAGCACACATGGCAAGTCAAGGAGAGTCACAGCGTCACCTGCCAATCAGGTGAATTTGCGTGGGGTGCACAATCAACCTGCAACAGAAGAGGTTACGTTGGGAAGAAGCAAAGCCAAGTGCAGCAACTATTTTAGGAAGCTCGCAGAAGAAAAGGAAACTCCACTCAAAATTCAAATCTTAAGCAAAAGGATGCTAAAGGGGAAAAAGAAAGCCAGAAGCAGAGGATAACCCACTCAAAACCCGACCCTCTTTTTTAGTTCCTGACAGATCTGAGAGATTGGGACGAATAAAGACAAAAGCCCAATTTGACCAAGCTGACGAGAACAACCCCCCTGCTAACCCTCTACCCTCTGGATAAGGTTTTCCAGAAACACCTCTCTCTAGCGGAGAAGGGGGTTAATCGCCCTCCCACGCCATTATCTTTAGGCAGCTCGAGTTCGGAGAGGGGAGAGTTGGAGGTGGAGTCTGATTCAGAGTCAAGTTCGTACGAATCCGATTTAGATGTCAACGGTCAGGAGGTAGCTCTAGAAAGAGTTCAAGCATTGTTCGAGAACAGAGGAAATTGGGAAAGTGTGGATATCCTGAAGCCGATACAGCTAGTTAATCCAAACTACAGTCTATCTGAAGATAAACACAGAGAGAGGAGGAAAGTTGGAATTTGTGGCAAACACCCTTCCAAGCTCTCTGATTGACCCCCTAGCTTGTAACACATTAGCTACTTCTTCTCCTGGTTTCTCTACCTCTGAGCCTCACTCCACTCCTTTTGTTTCCTGTGTTTCAGGTGAAGGTGGCCTTGTATCCCAACCATTGGCAAGTCTCTGCAACCAAGGAGTTACTCAGTTTTCGAAGACTTGCCGGATATTCAATGACACAGAGAACAATGGGGCAGGCATTAAGCAGAAGAGAGAGATAAAGGGAAATAGTAAAGGAAAGAAATCGGAAGTAGGAGGGAATAAAGAAACAAACAGAGAGATCAAAAGAATTCAATGTGGTTTTGTCGACCAGGGAGTAGGACCTGAAATCAGCATGGTTAAGGATACCCTAAGGAACCAGACATG